ATTAACCTATTAATTAAATAATATTAAATATACTATTATCATTCTTCCATTTCACCTCATACAACACCTAATGTCATCGCATGGTAAGTCACCAGCGCTCCCCACCGAAACAGCACCTTGCGCAGCTGTGGTTGCGTCGCCGTTGGAACTTTCCGAAGCTTCGCCATCTCTTCTCCCACAAGCCTCGAGACTACGACCACGACCGCAGCAACGTGGAGCGTGGAGCGTCCATCAAGTTTTTTTCATGGACAACAAAACACATGGTCAATTCAATGGATTGGTTTAAGGTCAAATCTACAGGAAACCATGGTTTTTACCATCAAATATAGGGCTTTCCTGTAAATTTTCCCATCATCCAATTCTATGTCAATTCGCTGATTCGCTTTTTCCCATGGGTTTCTCCTTATGCATTTTTGTGCAATATATGGTGAACAGTTATAAAAACCATATGCATATTATACCATGGAAATCCATGGAATATATTGTACTCTGCATCACCATATATTGTAGATTCGTAAACCAAACGATCATACGATATAAATGGATTCGCAAAATATTTTCTCCACCGGAAAAACAGTTTGCTTCTGTTTGTCAACTAAAGAACTGTACACACTGATAAATGAAATTGGCTGCATGGAGTCTGACCATTTACAACACCTTCAAAAACCGGGCAATGGTGTGAGTGGGTCAATTATTAGTTTAAAGAAAATAACCAGCCAGTCGCAACTGATGCAGAGATGAGGCTGTGGGACTACAGTGTTTCAAATCATTAGAGATCATGAGAGATATTGAGCAAAACAAATTCTATGTAAACCTGTCCCAGAATCAGTTTAAGGATGTTTAAGGTAAAATTTACAGGACCCTATAGTATTGATGGCAAACAAAACATAGTTTCCTGCAGATCTTCCATTATTTCCCCTTAAACCAATACTGGTTGGTGGTTTTAACCATCTTGAAAAATATTAGTCAATGGGAAGGACTATCCCATATATTATGGAAAATAAAAAATGTTCCAGACCACCAACCAGCAATATATTGAGACTTGAACCTTCTGTGCTCTGCACAAAAATTGGTATGTTCCAGCACCGACCCCACTGAATTTCCGGCCTCTTCACCGTCAAGGGGAGTTCCGCACTAAGAGTGGCTAACTGCTCGCGACTCCTGTGGATCCAACTCAATGTGGAGTTACTTGGTGGCGAACTACCCACGAATCCCAAGTGGGTTATATCCCTGGTTATAAATAGGATTAATAGGGCTTATCTACTTACAACTAGGGTTACAGCCTACTTACTGAGTGGGATGAGCCACCAAGTAAGGGGTTTGATCATCCCAGGTTAGAATTACCCTCTGGTAAACCTGGTAAACATACAAAAAACTATGAAACATCACCATTTTTAATGGGTTTATCTATCAATGGCCATGTTCAATAGCTATGTTAGTTTACCAGAGGGTAAAAAAATGAATCATGACATATTTTGAAATCCAATTAGTAATAGGAAAGCTATTATAATAGTCCAGATCTTGTGTAACATGTGGCGATATCTCATAAGGTTTGAATCTGGAATCTCTGAAACCACTTATGAGCATCCTCTTGGGTTTAACCAAGAACCAGATATGATTGTATCATCATCCACATTTATGTTGGTCATTAATCCCTTACCCCCAATATAACACACCTCGTAGAAACCATGGTTTAGTAGGGGATTGGAAAAGATATGTGGGACTATTTAGGGTGGCGTTTAATATTAGGAGGGGATTATTCCCACTATTATCCTATTGTTCATGCTTCTATACTTGTTTTATCAATATCAATCAATATCATATCCCTATTTCTAGTCATTCATCTTGGATGATCACTATTTCATAACCATATTTCATATCATATTTAGATTTAACTATCATTAATCATATCATAACCACTATTGGATGATGATTTTATACTTATTATATCAATATACCGTGATACCCTCTGGTAAAATAACATAGCTATTGAAAATTGCAATTTATAGTTGATTTACCCATTGAAAATGGTGATTTTCCATAGTTTTTTGTATGTTTACCAGAGGGTAGATCCCTATTTCTGGTCATTATTTCCACTATTGGATGATTTACGGTAAAAAATCTGGGTGTTCCAGCCCCTGCGGGTCCTGATTGCAAGGGACTCCAGCTTTCCCAAGGCAGCGTCCACCCACCCACGACCTCGGCTTAGCTATCTCAATATGCGAGGGGCTGCATTGGTACATCCAAATATATTGCATAAATACCAGGTCATTCACAAAGAATACCCTCTGGTAAACTAAGATAACTAAGATAACTATGGAAAGTCACCATTGTATAGTTGGGTAAATCAACACTTTCAATTGCCATTTTCAATAGCGAACTGTTGGTCTACCAGAGGGTATCTTCATAAATAGTACATTCAGGCTTCATTCATCAGGGTTGCTTCCAGCCCAGGTACGTCAAAGAGGTAAATTTCGCAATTTCCTACTCAAAAGTTGCTATGATTGTGTCATGAGGGGCCTTTTTGAGGCAAGACAAGCTCTTGAACAGTTGAATGTTGATAATGTTGGTTTATCTCTAATGAAGCATGAAGACTCAACCCATTCATTTTGGAGAGAATCTGGCCTTGGAATTCCTAAACTTTGACATAAACCCACACAAGTGCATCTTGACCAAAGCCCCCAACAATCACGTTCTCAAAAATAAGCTACATATCCCCTATCCAAACGTGACAATCCCAGCCCCAGCCCCAGTCCGCAACGTCCAGGAGGCCCGGGCACTGTTGCTTGGTCTCCCGTGCCAGCGCTTCCCCTGAGCTCCGTAAGTCTTCACAGACCTGCCGAGAGGCACGCACTCCCGGGATGGCCAGGACAAGAATGGGTTAATGATGGGTTAATGATGGTTATAATAGTGGTTCAATGGTCAATAATAGTATCCAACTAGCACAATGAGATGGGATAGGGCTAGTTTTAATAGTTAATAGTTAGTTATACCGGTTTAATGGTTAATAATAGTTACAGTAGCTATGGTTTAATGGTCAGTGGTATTGAATATTCATAAGTATCTAGCTCTTATTAGTTACTGATGGTGAATAGTTCTATAATGGTTGATCATGGTTAATAATGGTTAGATTTATTTATTTTGATTTACACTGGTTCATAATTCATGATGGTTAATCATGAATACGATTAATAAGTATCATAAGTATCTACAGTAACTAATTGATACTAATTATAGGTCCACTACTGACAATCCTGGGATAATGTTAATGGCATACTTAATCCACTATGAACTATCGTTGTTTTTACGGGATACTTGATGCTTAATGGGATATTTACTGGGATACCCGCAACTGTGTGGAAAATCAGCTCCATCATGGCTGGCAAATCGCTGTGACGCCTACGTATTTTTCGGTATTTGTTGGGGAAATCAGCTCAGCGGCAATTTTCCCGCTCAAACCTCCACTTATAGGAGATTTTCCATTGCCACGTTTGATTACCGAAAGGTATATCAGACGTGGGATATTGATGGTAAATCTATGGTACATGTATGGGATATGTGTAGGATATGTATGGGATATCTTGGGTTTCCAAGCGAAGGTTGGTAGGGGGCTCCTTCTTGAAACTATGGCGGACAGCTGCAGAAACGAAGGCACTTGCCAAGATAGACAATACGAAATCAAATGGCTCTTGGATCACTGGGCACCTGATTTTTCGAGCCCCACAACAATGATAATCCCATACCCTCATACTAATCCCCTCAGAGTCACCATGGTTTAGTAAGGGATGAATCGGCATGACCATGGGACCATACGATGGAGGTGCATATGAACGGGGCATGTGGTGGGAATCTGCAGAGTGTTGTTCGCTGATGCTACTGATACGGGTGAATTTTTCCATGCTATGTCCTAAATAGACGAAACAACATCACTGATTCATAGATTCTATCTCTCCATAGTTGAATTTGCAATGAGTAACTAGATGGCACCATCAGGCTCCATCCTCTCTGCCCCCTTCGCCCTTTCTGAACCGCAACGGGTCACCGCGGCCATCCTGGGGAACTGCACTGACTGCAGTGGTACATGGCGATGTGCCACGTATTTTCTACGCCGGCTGTGCCATAGAACTTTTACAACCTCCTGGCCTTCGGAAGATGAACGTGGCACATCTTGCTTTCTGAAAGGATTGGCTCGTCATGATTGGTGGTATTAATGTGCTTATAATAGTGATTAATAGTGGTTAATAGTGGTTAATAGTGATTAATACCTGATCTAATGAAACATATATCTGGTTGGTGGTATATCACCCCTCTGAAAGATATGAGTTCGTCAGTTTGGGATTCTGACATTCCCAACATATGGGAAAAAAAAACAACATGTTCCAAACCCCCAACCAGATATGCATCACATGTGAGAAAGCGTCCCCACTAGATATACCATCTTCGACTAAAATCATTTCAACCCATTGCCACTACCCTCTGGTTATTTAACATAGCCATGGAAAATCACCATTTTTAATAGGTAAACCATCTATTTCTATGGGCCATCTATACCATGGCTATGTTAGTCATAACCAGAGGATAAGTTCTTGCCAACAAAATTGCGGAGTCCTTCGGCAGGAGGTCGTCACACAAATCAGGAGTTTGGAAAAACACGTGAGCGTGGAACGAGAATCACAGCCCAACAGGATACCTTCCGATGAGCAGTGTCAACTTGTCACGCAAGGGGGTGATCATCTAACATGCAGATGAAAGCAGCAAGAACTTACTGGAGCTGATGAATGGGGAATGGGGGAATGATCTATCATATTCTATCATAACTATTAACAATCATCATTAGTCATGCCATTCCCCTATTTCCTAATCAGATAGTCATATAGTATTTTATTAAGATCGATTAGCAGTCCTCCCACTCCCCCATTCCTGTGGATGAAAGAAATCCTGCACCAGTGAAAAAAGGTGGTAAACATCCCATTGTTTATAGCTTTTCTACCATCCCAGGGGGAACGTTGAAGCATGTTTTCGACCTTACTACGCTCACGTACGGTGAACCAACACGCCACGGACGCGACAGCGCCGTAACGTTCAGTGCACATGGGCGGCGCTAAACTCCTGGAGTCGATCGAGTCAATGGAATCCCTCTGGTCAACAAACAAAAAGCTATTGAAAATGGTGATTTATATTGATTTATACCGTGGATTTACTGATTTACCCAACATTAAAAATGGTGGATCTTTCCAGTTCGTTATGTAAACGTTTACCAGAGGGTACAAAAACATTGCAATTGGATTGTAGATATCTGTTTCATCACGAATCCTTTCCCCCTAATACTAAACGCCCCCCTATTAATAAGTACCTCAGGTAGTTTTTAGTATTAGGGGGGTATTTATTAATGGGGATCCCGATTAATTAAATTTTAACATGTAATAATGAAAACTATGTTTTTCCGATCTCAAAATCAACTAAATTTCCTTATATAACAAAATTAAACTATTGCCAAAAATCCGTTTTCGAAGCGGGCCCTAATAAGAAATTAAAAGCCCTAATATAAAAAACTCAAAAAATTCGGACGGACCCTAATCATAAACACACCGGGGTGAACTAGGTTTTATTCTCGGGGGGCAAAACCCACAAATGGTAGCTTTAATTTTAAATTGTTTTCTAAAAGGGATCAATTAAAAGTCAAATTGGCCAATCTGAAATTTTCCGAAATTAGAGATGGACCCTAGTTTTTAGTATTTGGGGGACGTTTAGTAATAGGGGGAAGGGATTACTTGTTCATCATTTTTGGGGAGCTATAAATCAACATCACATCTTCTCTCTCTCTCTCTTTCTCTCTCTCTCTCTCTTTCTCTTTTCACGCTTCCGGATAGTATGATACCACTATGCGATGTTATGTTTATGTCTTTTTCTTGTACTACCCCCTGGTAATGTAACATTCCCATGGAACCTTACCCGTTTCTAGAGGATTTACCTATCAAACATAGCAATTTTCATCAATTTTCCATGTCTGTCTTAGAATACCAAAGTCTCATCCTGCATTCTTCAACCCATGCCACTGTCGGCCTGGTATGTGAACCACAGTGGATGGTTGCGAAATCCCAATCACCAGTTGGTAGCTACATTGAGAATTCCTATGAAACACTGCAAGTCATGGTATTATGACAGAGAAGTTTACAATGTTTACCAACTGGTGATTCTTTCATTTCGCAACTTATAACGGGATCTTTATACGGATTTGCCGGTGATTTTGCAACCAATAAGCCTTCGGGATGATCAAAAATATCAAGGGGAGATCTCCAGGATCCATATTATGAAGCTACGTAAACGTACCATATCTCTGGCAATATTTCTGGCCGTGGTGATATCCGTGAAACAAATCCTCCCATCATCGGCCACTTCAAAATCCACGGCCAAACGGGGCTTCCGTGGACGAAAACATGCTCCGGAATCTCCTCCATGACATTTTTTGTATTTCTTTCCACTGCCGCAAGGGCATGGATCGTTGGGCCCCACCTATGGCGGCAAGCGTTTTTTGTCCATGGAAATTAGATAGCTATATGACTATGCAAAATGACTATGCAAAATGACTATGGTAGATAACTATGGTATATCTATGACTATGGTATATGTATATATATATACACGTATATTGATTTTAATTACTGAATAACTATCTTGATATTATATGTATAAATATATATATATACACATTATATACTGAATAACTACTAGTAGATTGATATCATGGTCCAGTATACGAGTAGTATGGTGGTGAGTCGTGAGCATACAACTATACGTATATCCAATAGCGGTATGTCTAAAGGGTTTGGCCAATGGCCCCTTTCTTCTTGATCAGCACAACGATACCTCGGAAGTCGGATGAATTATATGACCACCTCTTCTTGCTTATCAGCTATTATTGGGGAATTGCTTCTAAACAAACAACTATACCCTCTGGTTATACCATTTATAGATGGTTTACCTATTAAAAAAGGTGATTTTCCATGGCTATGTTAAATAACCAGAGGGTAAATCTGGGGCGTTGTTGATAAAACCAATAAAGCATCATCTGGCGAAAAAATTCACGCCCCTGCAATGATCCTGCCAGGTAGGCACCCAGGGACCCAGGGCCTTCTTCTTGGCACTGCTGGCACTCTTGCCAGCTTTCCCTGGAACACCTGGAAACCCGTGTACAACGGATCAACGGATCCACGATGAATGATCAACGATGATCAACGGTTTTCTTGCGCAAAAAGACATGGAAAAAAAAGGTGTGGTTGGCCATCTAAACTTCTTTATTCTTGTTGTAAAAAAAACCTTAGGTTTTCTTCGATCAAGAACTCAATTTTCACTGCTAAATCATGGTCAATTCCGAATTTCCCTATTGTTCGGCTAGTTACATCACATTACATCTCCCAATTAATCCCATTCAATTCCGTTAAATCCCATTAAAACCCATTGAATCACCATTAGTCATTATGAAATCCCAATCATCTTCCTAGTTTTCGATGATAAACTTCCGTTTCTAGCTGATTTTCTGGAGCATCCCCAGCCCCCCACCCGGCCCCTGGGAGCCTGCAGGCACGGCGGCCGGCTTGGCGGCGGCTTTTTCAGCGTAGCCATTGGAGGTGGGAGTGGAGCCATTCGCAGAGCCTCCCGTGGCGATTTTCCAAATGTGTATATATATATATATTTATATATATATTATAATATGTATATATGTATGGAGGTTTCCTAAGTCATGGGGGTACCAATCATCCCAAATTAAAGCAGTTTAGTATTAAAACCAATTGTTTTTGGGAACCACCATTTGAAGAAACCACCATATATTGATTTATATATATATATATGTATGATTATATGCATAATATACTAGTAATGCAATATTGCTTGGAGTACAATCTCAATCGGTTGTAAATGGGTGATTGAAGAAACTAAGATAGCTGGAGATATAGTTGTACCCCCAGTTCTCAGTTTCACTCCAGCAACTCTAACAATAATGATAGTTTTAGTTTGTCCAGTAGCGGGAGATAGGCCCCAACCAGAGTAGCTTTCCATCTTCAAAGAAAATTACATGCTCTGTTTGTGTGCACCACCCTTCCATGAGGAAGAGTGGAGGTTTCCTAAAATTTAGGTACCCTCACATCACCATGGGTTTCAAACACTACACGATGGTGCCCCATAGCTAGCTAAGTTGGTGCAAATAACTCCAATAATTTTTGTTTCTGGTAGATATATCCATACTATTCCTATGGTTTATAAGCCAACAAACATCACTGGGGGGCACCACCTTGCCTGCGCTCTTTGTGGCGGGGTCCGATGTGGGCGGCGGCCTCGGGGAGTGGGAAACATAGCGGTGATGGAACCCATGGCTATAAAACGATGTAGCTACCCCCTGGTTATTTAACATAGCCATGGGAAATGGCCCATAGAAATAGATGGTTTACCTATAAAAAATGGTGATTTTCCATGGAGAACTGTTAAATAACCAGAGGGTAGTGTATTCAAAAATGTGATTTTCCATCAACAAACTGTCAAATTACCAGGCTTATCTGCAGTTTCTCTTCTGAGTAAACAAATTACCCTTCTTAACTGTCAAATTACCAGGCTTAAGTAGCTAGTTTGGGTAAGGTCTTATAGGGATCTCTGCAAATTAGATGTGTACACAAAGCTCTTCGACGAAATCTGCACGAAATCTGTAGTGTAAGACTTCTGAGTCGCGTCGCGTCGTCGCGTCGCGTCTGCCACTACAAGGTGAACATTTGGAGCAGTGGTGTCTCATAGTTGGCTCAGATGGTTTAGTTCACACATGTTACACTGTTGGGTTGACCAGTTTATTGATGTTTATGCTTTGTAAACCAACATCCCAATCAAAATCCCAATATTTTCCCCCATACCTGTCAGAATCATCCCACTATGTTCATATCTATCCCAATAAATCATGGGCTTTTTTCGCTATCAACCACGATGTCGTACAGCACCGATCCGCCTGCCATGCTCTTCTTGATAACAACGAGTGCACAGTCCATCGTGGCTGGCGAAGAAGCTGCAAACCTCGAAGAAACGGCGGCCAGTTGCGGTGAACACCGACCGTTTGGGTCTAGGGGTCCAATGCACCATATTTTCGTTATTGGATATCTGGTTGGTGGTTGACCTACCTACCATTGGTTGGTAATATACTGTTAATATTAATGTTAATATATATGGTTAATATATGGTTAATGATAATAATAATCTGGTTGGTGGTATACCTACCCCTCTGAAAATGATGGAGTTCGTCACTTGGGATGATGACATTCCCAACTGAATGGAAATTCATAAAATTCATGTTCCAAACCACCAACCAGTTTTTGTTATGGGATATGATGGGGATATTATGATATATATTGTATGATATATCAAGCATATAATGGGATATTAGAGTATGATATTATGATATATTATGGGGACGTAACGAAAATCATCCACAGACAGATCGATCTACCATTGACAGATTGCTTCCGGTGATCAAACGTGGCAATGGGAAATCCCATATAAATGGAGGTTTATAGCTAGGGACAATCATCTATCAATGAAGGATTACCAAATAGCCACGCTTGATTACTGGAGGGTACAGTGTGAACTGAGTCAAAACCAAATGGCACCCAGATGGTACCCTAAGTCATAGATGGTACAGCTGGATGTGTATTCCTCCAGTCATACGGTAATAATAGGTTTTGACCCATCCCCACATGTGTGTAAATGGAGATTAACATTTTGAAAGTATAGCCATATACCATACTACCCTGACAAATTAATATCATCCATATGATGGGATTTATGGACATTCATCCCTCCTGCTCCTGTTATCTAGTAGGTTTTGACATGTCTTGACACATTCCCATATTGCGATGAGGCCAACTTGATGGTAAAGAAATGAAATCAAACATCCTTTCAATGGGAATTCCAGAATCCTAAAATGGAGGTACTGTACCATATAAGGCCATATTTTGTGGAGGTATTCGCTTACATAGGCCTTACATAGGCCTTATATATGGTAGGTACCTCCAATTTAGGATCCTGAAATGGCCATTGATCCTTCCGGTACATGTGTTGAGACACATTGGATTTTTGTTTAGGCCTTTGTGCCTTGTCTACGCTTGATGCCTCAGATCTTGACATCCACACGAATCCACACAGTGAAATCTCCAACTTGACAAGGCATGAGCTTCTGTCATACATAAACTCTATATAGTTGATGTATGGGGATTCCTAATATTCCTATAGATTTTCTGTATATAATTATATATATTTGATTAGTTGATTCCTATATATTTCCTAGTGGATTGCAACTACCCACACCAACACAATTTCTATGTCCCGAAGCCCGTTCAACCCGCCGCAACTTTCCATGATCGCACATTTTGCTAAGGGACGGCTCCCCCAAGTCCCTTACACCGACCTGGCGGCACGGGCCAAAGACTATTGGATAATTATTCTATACTTGTTATATCAATATACCGTAATACCCGGCCTGGTTTTTACAAACATAGATAGTTATTGAAGCCATGGCCCAGTCGAAATAGTGCGTTTTCCCATTAAAAATTGTGATTTTCCATATAAATCACCATTTTCCCATGGTTTTCCCATGGTTTTCCCATGGTTTTCCCATTAAAAAGTGGTGGATCTTTCCAGTTCGTTTTTTTGTGAAAACGTTTACCAGGCCGGGTGTCTTTTTTTCCTTAAGTGGACCTTGAAAGATCACCCAAAAATCACCTGGTTATGACTAACAGTTTGCCATGGAAAATCCACCAATTTTTAAGTTCGGTAAACCATCTATAAATGGTATAACCAGAGGGTATAGTTGTTAACATGAACATAGAAATAGATGGTTTACCTATTAAAAATGGTGATTTTCCATGGAGAACTGTTAAATAACCAGAGGGTACCATTTATTATGAATGTGAATAAACCCCCAGTATGATAATTTCATGTGTAATTTCATAGGTAACCTGACCCATCCGCATTTGCCAAACTTGCCTCATCACTCTGGGGTAAACTTGCACTGTGGCTGAAGAGAGGACATCTATCTAACTCGATATTTCTCCATTTATCTGGGTAAATTAAAATATTTCACTAACCTAAATTAAAGCCATTTTGGGATGATTCCCCTTATGCTACCTATGATTATAGATTATAGTATATTATAGTGAGGTCGCAGTGAGGTCGTTATAATTTACCCACATTTATGCTCAAAAACTGCCTTGTTCACTCATACAGGGTGGTCCCTCCCATAATTAAGTTGGTTTACAAACCCCAGTGAACTAGTTCCATATAAACATCCATCCCCCCAAGCTAACCTATCGGAATTTCGAATATAGACTTTCCAACTTAGCTGGGGGGTTCACCATGGTTCACCCACATTTTCCGCCGATCCCTGCTGAGCTTCCCCTGCTGGGCAGCGTAGCTTCTTCCGTTCCTTTCGCGCCACGTTTCTTTTCAGAACTCGTGGCCTGCGATGCGATATGAGCCATCTACGAAGGAACGTCTCATTGTTGAAGACTTGAAAAGTGATGGTTTCGAAGATCTGGCTTTGGTCAAATGGTGCATACCTCTGGGCAATCATAACGATATTACGATGATGTTTTCGAAGATTTCATCACTTCTGATGTCAACATCTTCACTATAACTAAGTGATAAAGCCGAGGCCAGCGCTTCACTGCCACCACTGATGCGGATGTAGAACAAGAGATAGGCTTGCTGTCGAAGCACCTACGACACCGACGGCTGGCAGTTGCCACTGTCAAACTGTCTAACTCTGTTGGAAAACATCTGTGAGTTTGACTTTCTCCACACTTCTATGCCAACTTGTGGCTATTTCTTAAGCTCTCATGCGAACTCTCCAAAAAGCATCCCATGAAAAAGGGTGTTTCATATAGCATTTCACCGTAATACATTGGGGTTTCCTGCAAATCGATCTCCAAAACCATACAGTAGGTTTCAATACTAAAATGATCTAATTTTGGATGATTTGGGGGATTGTCCATTTTAATCATCCATTTTAATAGGATTTTCCATTATAAACTCTTCATTTTGCATCTCCTGCAGGAAACCGCTATGGCATCACCGCTCCGTGGGGCACAAACTCTTCCTCGACTTCCTGAATGATGCCTCGATATGCCGGGAGACTTTGAGGCTGAACCAACCAACAGCTCTTCATTAAAGTTATGATATGAGCAATACATAAATCAGTAAACAGTGATAGATTCTATGCAGAAATTCGTATACATATTACATACATATATATATATATACACTATGGTATGTTATACAATGTAATACATAGTTTATATATATATTATTTGGTTGAGCAAAAGAGCTTATTTAGTGCTCCACGCCACCGAGGTGGATCAGGCTCCAGAATTCTTTGCTGCCAGGCCGCTATCGTCGATCAGGAACCATCGGAAAACGCCTTTTCCTTGGTGGACCATGGAATCCCAACTGGTTGGTGGTTGACCTACCTATCATTGGTTGGTAATATACTGTTAATATATGGTTAATATATATATATATATATGGCTCATATATGGTTAATGATAATAATAATCTGGTTGGTGGTTGAGCCCTACCCCTCTGAAAAATGATGGAGTGAAAGTCAGTTGGGATGATGACATTCCCAACTGAAGGGAACAAGAAAATAGGTTCCAAATCACCAACCAGGCAATATCGAATCTGGGGCGGATGTTCGGATGGGCGCTATGGGGCTCCCGTGCAATCCAAATCATCCCGGAAAACCAATTCTGAGAGATTCGAAGACAAAAATGTGGGGTTCCAGAAATGGGGGTACTGCAGATAGCCCTTTATATATCGCTGGATGATGCTGGATGATTTATCATGGAAAATCCCATCTATAAATGGATGATGATGATAATTTTCCATTTATAGATGGGATTTTCCATGATAAATCATCCATTAATCCATTTATAGATGGGATTTCCATTTATAAATGGATGATTATTTAGGGGTGCCCCCATTTCTAATGGAAATGCCATGAATCCACCCAGAGAAGTTTCGAAAAACCCAGCTGAAAGGGGATCCAGATCCCATCGACATGCCAGAACTGTCAAAGATCAGACATTTGGATGACCAACTCCCAGAAAAAAAACAGATCATGTGGGTAAAACAATGGAAAATAAACAACCCATGACTGGGAATGGTAGTCACATATCACCTATAAAAATGGTGATGACTGGGGGATGGTTTATGATTTGACCCAGATTAAACCATTTTTCACCACCCAATGTCCCTTTTTCTTAGTAAATCCACTGCCTAGTGGCGATGCGTGGCGCCCTTCACAAAGGCGATGTAGTGCCCAAAGTGGGAATAGCCCGCCTCCAGCGGTGCAGCGATGGCATACTGGATTTTGATACATCTTGGATCATCTTGGTACATTTGGATATGTATGAAAAATAGAGTACTGCTTAATCATCATGTCTTTCCACATTGACATAGCCATTTTGGGTTCCATTTTCAGACACACCCATTTTGTGGCTTTGTGTGGCACATCTCTGTAGATTTCCGAGGGGTTTGCATGGATTCCTTTGTAGATTTTCCATGGTCAATCTTGGTAGTGCACAAAAAAAATCCATCTTTTGCTGAATGGCTGATGACTCTCCTGTGGCAAAAACTAAAGGATTAAAAATTAAAATGTTTAGATTAAACTACCTATCCAGTTGGTTGAGGATGGTGTGTACATATATATATATTAATATATATATATATATATAAACACTTACGGGTATTTTATTATCCATTAGTTGTTTGGTATATCCCGTTATATCCCCATGATTAACCACTAAGTGATATTATCCCATTAGCTGTTGGTTATATTCCAGCTATATTCCCATCATCTTCCCATTATCTTCCCATTGAACCAATGTATCAACTACAACAATATACTGTACAACAATTGCCAATGGTTCGTTGATTTACCTACGTATTGAAAATTGTGTTTTTCCATAGTTTTTTGTCTGTTTACCAGAGGGTAAATTCATCCAGTCCGTTGGGTTTTGATAGATCCCCAGCCCCAAAAAGCCTTGTCCACGTGCACGATGACCGCGCGCAAACTTGGTGCGAGTTCGTTTTGTGATAGCATTCATAGGTAACGATGGTCAGGTGCACAACTACAATCAATGGGAAATTCAGGAATCGTTTTTTCCTCACTTGCAAATCGTAATGTTGGAAGGCCCACTTTGGCCTAAGCAAATGAGCAGTGTTCAAAACCCCTGTTGGTTGATGATTATAGGGGATTATACTACCCAATATATTGAGGATTATAATAATCCAATGGGGGAATCCTATTAATCAAATATCGATACAACAATCATCAAATAAATAATGTCTATATACATAATATGGGTGATTTATGGTAATTTAATGTAACTTATGATATATCAACTACCACAATATACAACAATCATAAAATAATGTGTATAAATCTATGGGTTTTTCTAATTCAATTTATGGAACATATACGGGCAATTTGCAATTTATACTATTTCACTAATCTGATGAAAGGCTATGTTGGGATAATTACCCCGGAATAACCATCTTCGGCGGACTCCTGAGCTGCCAGACTCGTAGTTCACCGGTCGACCTTCACCCTGTGCACCTGATTTTTTGAAGCTGAGAGATCATGAATTAATCGGTTTTCATGTGATAATATAGGAATATAGGATAATAATTTACGATAATGGGAATATCATGGGAATATCATGGGAATATCATGGAAAGATCATAGAAGAATCATAGAGATTTAACCAGCAATCATGAAGACGTAGGTAGGGTGATGGAAAGGGGAATATCATTGGGATATAGGATCGTATAGGATCGTATAGGAATATCATATTTTAGAGAATTGGAGACGTATGGTGATGCTGATTTAACCATTGCCAATCTTAGATACCCTGCAAAAAATAAATTCTTTGCTGGTGAACGTAGATATTCCCATTATTACCAAAAGACTAAAGGATTAGTTTGTATCCATGTAAGATCGACCTAGTGGTTTAACCAGCAAACATGGAATATCATTTGGACATCCTAAAAGAATCATATTTTTAGAGGATAATCCAACGAATCGCTTCATGGGACGATACACTTTACTTGGACACCCATCCTGTGGTCCCAGTGATATTAGCGTTTTTATCATATAATTTTTGATCCCGTGCATCTACCATGGATTACCATGGTGACTTTGGGTGTTTAATATGAACGTGGGAACGGATTCTACGAAAACAATTCTGAATTGGGAGTAATTTTCTATTGTACTAGTATACTCAGGCTGCTGATGCGGAGAATTCTACAAAGTGCAATCAAATTGAGCAAATCAGACTTGGCTATGGATCAATACCTATAAACACCATTTTTAGAGGGATGAACATCCATAAATCCCAGCTACAGTATTTTGATGTAAACTACAGGGGTACTTTGGGTGACTTGACCCATCTTCATGAAGTTTCACCCCTTTCTCCCAAGACATCAATAGATCAACAAATGTTGCGCCTTTGCACAAGTAGGGTCGCAGGTTCAGGACAGGTGGGAAGGGCACAATCTTCACGACCTGATCGAGGGGTTTACCTCGCTTCATGAGGTTGCTGGACTTTTTGGGACAGGGTACAGGTATGGCCCTCAACAGTTGCAAATGGGTTTATAATGATATATGATATATAATGATATATATTGATATATAAAATCTCAGTTATAGGACTTATCATTCCATGTACAACAGTTGAGGGCCGTAACTGTAGCTTCGGATAACAGTTATACCACCATCTTTTGGACGCTAACGGATCAGGCCGCGCAGCAACCCGGCCTTGCCGCGTTCCATGAAGCGGAATCGCTTCCTTATGCGGACGCTAGGGGGGCGAATATCAAAGCGATGACATGGAAAATTGACAGCCTGGGTATGTCTGAGAATGGGGTATCCCCTGTAAATCACCACTGAAAAAGAAAAATAGTGACTATAATTCACTGGAATGGGGGATACCCTATTTTCAGTCAAAACCAGCCATGGTTTCCTAAGTCAAAGGGCTCCCCCAGTCATCCTCCATTTCTAGATCGGAATTTCCATGAAATAAACTCTATAAACCATCCATTTCTATTACTAGCATCCATTTTTCATCGAATTTTCCATGAAATCAACCATATACAGTAAATCCATATAAACCATCCATTTCGACAAAGGGCAACCCCCATTTTCCTTAGGAAACCTCCCCGTTAACCACAAACTTTTACCATGACCTCCGAGGTGCAGATGCAGCACCAGAAAGTTGGGCGCTTGGTAGATCATCATCCTGGCGTCGGAGGTAAAGGGGGTAGCCTCTGCTAATATCATGGTATCATTATATGGAAATTATATTATCATTATTATAGTGATGGTATTTTTTTTGGCTCGACAGCGCCTGGTCAGCAGTCAGCAAAGAGGGCCTGTTCCGGAAACTGCACATTCCGGATATGGCTATAGCAAGGAGGAGTGTGGAAGGAGGGCCAGCAGCAGCCATTCCACACAAAAGGACGAGTCTCCTGGATGCAAAGCCCAGACATCAGTCGCCCTGATAAGACGCCAGGTCTGTTCTCCTGTTCCAGCTTGAAACCGGGGTCGTTGAGGATCGCCGTCGGCATGCCTTCAAGGTACGATTGTAGGGCATGGCGCTGCTGTGTCAGGCCTTCCGCGACTCGAATTAAGGCCTCAGACGCGGCCTTGCTCTCGATCAACTGGACATGCGGAAGCGTTCCCGGTTTCAGAATCGCAGTTACGCCCACAATCCCCTGCGCGCTTCGCCCAATGCCGCAATGGACTGCGTACGCCTGTGCCTGTCCGCTGGTGCCAATGCTACCAGTTACGGAATAAACAGTTGGAGGGCTGAAAATGCGTCACAAACAGCACCTCCGCACCGCCCTCCTTGGCTTGATGAACAGTGCCCTGGGCAAATACTCCCTTTGACGTGGCTCCAGTTAAAGTAACTTTGGGTCCTGGTGAGAAGCTGGGCGCCATTGCCTGGCTCTGAGTGTCAGGTGACAGAACCGCGACCCCATCCGTAAATCCCGTTGAAGGCTCGGTCGCGTCGGGAGGGAGCCTTATTGACTTGGCACTAGTGATGGTAATTAATGTAATATATGGATGATATGGATAATTAATGTAATAATGATGTCATAATCACAATGACAGAGGGTAATATATGGATAATTTCCATGTAATATCATGGATAATCATCATGATATTAGTATAGATATTAAATAATATCCAAACATAATCATAATGATATTAATAATGGGATAATTAAGGTAATATCATCCTGCTGCCCATAAAAATAACCAAACACCAATTAAGTTATAGATTATTATCTCTATTCAGATATATATATATATATATTAATATTATTACTATTATCATCAATATTATACAATCGATTATAGATATGTCAGGTGGGTACAGCAACTTTGAACTTTTCCCTCTGGTATTAACTAGCTGTAAGACTTTGCGACGTGGTTTTCACTACCTTGAAAATCATAGATCATCAAAAATTGCCATCAGCCATCGATATTTTCCGTAGCGAAGTGGTAGAAAACAGACCAAGGCACACAGATCCCCATGGTGCAGAAGTTTCTTCATCACTTCATCAATTTCAATGTATATCAGAAAAAATAGAAAAATAATGAAATAAATTACTTTCAATCATCAAATTACCAATAATGTCCTCTTGGTAAAAATAGAGGGGGCGGTTTGGTATACCATCTATCATCATTTACCTGTTGTTAAAAAGGACAGCTAGGCTATGCTGAGTTCACTTACTCATCCACTTGATTCTGTCAGCCCAAAACCCACCGCTTGAAGGATTCCCAGCTCACAGAAGGGTCCATAGACACCAACCAGCGCGACCCACTTAACATACCCCATCTTTAACCACCACCATCAATCATCATATCTCATCATATCCCCATATTTTGCCACTTAATCTCAGCTTTATTTGGTTGCCAAACAATCCGTTCATACCTACCAAGATGACGGGTACCCGGGGGTCAACTCTGAGGCTGCAGCTGCTTGCGAGCTCGCACCACTTCGGAGCACGCCTCACACCTCCGCTCGGTAATTTAACGTTAGCGAACTGGAAAATCACCATGTTGAAGAACGGCAATTTTATCGTCGAACTATTCATGGGCCATGGCTTCCACAGCAAACTGTTAAGCAACCAGAGGGTATATGATCTTATCCAAGGTTGGAATTCTGGGTTTTAGACCGATATGTTTCACACAGTCTTCATCAATTTTATGCACACGGTCTTAAATATCAGAGATTATCCTGATTTCTTTGAGTTCTCATGTTTGACACTTTTCTTTCAATTTTGTTTTAGCCATATCCCACTTGAATGTTGTTTTAAAGCTGACCAGGTTTCTCGAGAAACGGACCCCAATATTCCACTATGGGTTTCCCATTAAAAATGAGCAACGAACTGGATGATTTTGGGGGGGTTCCCCATTTCCACAAAAATCATTCCTGTGCCAGTCACGTCTGGGTTTGTCTTAAGATACCCAAAATTCGATGAAACACCTCATTTTCCAGTCTTGAAAGGGCCATAAACTGGGATATAACACCAGTTTTTAGACAAACCCAAGTATCACACATATGTATATATGTTGTGTGTGTATACAATTGTATATATATATATGTGTATATAATTGTATATATATATATATATGTATATTATACATATATATATATATATACATCATATATTATCTAAATGGCTGGTTATATGATTCTGTTTCGTATGTCCCCATGAAATACCATTGAAACATGAAATAACTGGCAGCCATGGAGTTCTACCCCCCTGCTTTGCATCACAGGTTTCCCGTCCACACATCTTGGTCCAAATTTCGATTGAAATCATCCCCAAATGGGAGTTGTTTATGGCATTGTCTTTCCCACATGTAGTACATCCAACCCCAAACAACATTGAAAATCTGAGTCTATGGCTATCATCCATGTCCATGAATTATCGTTAAGATCTTTATATATCCGGATTTCATTGGGAAAAAACTAACCCCAGCATACCATGGCTATATAATAATAATAAATAATAAAACTAATAATAATAATAAAAAATAAAAATAATAATAATATATAAAAATAATAATAATATATATATACCCTCTAGTTTCTTACTAACTCATCCAGTTATTCAGGGTACCACAGCCACATCTTGATCTATCAGCTATCATAGATCTGTGTATACTGTATACAGTTTGTAATAATATATATATTGTTATATACTCCCATCAAATACATCATGTACCCATTCACAAAGTACCATATAAAACATCAGATCTAGACCATATATTTACTTTCCATCACAAAATAATTCACATCCCATATTCAAAAAAATCATCATTAAGTACCATATTCACCAACACAAGATCTAGACCATATATTTACTTTCAAAATAATCAACATCCCCATTGCCCATAGAAAAAGTTGATTCTATTAAAGATGGTGATTTTCCATAGCTATGTCAACGTTTACCACAGGGTATATCACCATTAATCACCATTGATCACCATGAATTATCCTTATTAACAACTACTAATATCTATTAACCACTACTAACCATTATTAATATCACCATTACTATCATTATTAATATTACCAGAGGGTACCAAGGGTAGATCTTTCCAGGTCCACTTGGCCCGTGCCGCCAGGTCGCTGTAAGGGACTTCTACATTATTAAACATTATTAAATGAGGATTGTTAATATCACCGTTATTATCCATATTACCAGATATTGCATATCACCATAATTATACTTCATCCCATCCCCCATCACCGGAAGCCACCAAGGTCGAACCCACCAAGGTCGAACCGCGGCGCTTCCAGGAGTTCTGCTTATCCAAACGTTCGGGCGCCGTGAAGAGCTTCAGCATGTCATCCAAGGTCTGGGTGGCCTGCGGGCGCTGCGCTGCCGTTTTCCGAACGGGGTGGCTTCCCATGGAAGTTGGGGGGTTTTCAGCACCAAATCAGCTGGGAAAAGGATGGGGAAACCATGGGAAAACGATGGTAAATAGTGGTAAAACCATGGTAAAATCATGGTAGAACGATGGTAAACCATGGTAAATGATAGTACATGATGGTAAAGTAATGGTAAAATAAAGTAATGATAAATAATGGTCAACATATAATGGTAGCTATGGACGTGAAGAACCCTCAAATTCATGAGGTGGGGACGCCTTGGTCAAAGGAATGGACTCTAGTGGCCCGAAACCAGTTCATCCACGCATGACCGAAAAACCTACAGATCCTACATGTGGTGGCTTGTTATTTGCCAATAAAATGGTTATACCCAAACTTATCACCATCTTTAAATAGTAACCCACAGCTAAGTATTAAATGCGTTGGGCATTACCCTTTACGGTAGCCAAGCAAGAGAAGGCACTTTTGATGGTGACACCAACATAGGGTAACCACTTTAGCTTGATATAATGTGGCTAGAACCAATCATACGAGGATGCTGGGGGGCAAGAACATCATCGAAGGAAGTTTAGAAGTCAAACTTCCGACAATATGGGCAGATGAAAAGCAGAGCAGGGAAGAGGCAGAGAGAAGAGAAAGATTAGAAGAAAGAAGGGTAGAAGAGAAAGAGTCAGAAGAAAGCAGATGCAGATGCGTGAAAAGGTAGGAAAGTCGCGAAACACTGTGTTTTTCCGGGTGCACAGCCAGCTGGCCAGATGAGAGATGAAAAATTGCACGCCGTTGTGGCGCGAAGCACATTTGCAAGTCAAAATGTACAAAGCACACCAGGTTCGGACCACTTTTACTAGTTGAGATGTCGAAAAAGTGCACGCCCTTGTGGCGCGAAGCACATTTGGAAGTCAAAATGTTAAAAACACTAGGGTTTGGACCACTTTTGGAAGTTCAGATCTCGAAAAAGTGCACGCCGTTGTGGCGCGAAGCACATTTGGAAGTCAAAATGTTAAAAACACTAGGGGTTCGGACCACTTTTGGAAGTTCAGATCTCGGAAAAGTGCACACCGTTGTGGCGCGAAGCACATTTCGAAGTCAAAATGTACAAAACACCACATGTTCGCGCCACTTTTGGAGGTTCAGATGTCGCAAAAGTGCACGCCGTTGTGGCGCAAAGCACATTTCCAAGTCAAAATGTTAAAAACACTAGGGGTTCGGACCACACTTTTGGAGGTTCAGATGTCGCTTCGCTTCGCTTCGCTTCACTAGATTACACTACACACCACTACACTACACTACACTACATTACACTACACTGCACTCCACTACAACTACAACTACACAACTACACTCCACTACACTCCACTACACTCCACTACACTCCACTACACTAAATTACACTACACTACACTACATTACACTACACTACACTCCACTACACTACACTACACTACACTACATTACACTACGCTACAATACCTTCCACTACACTTCACTACACTCCACTACACTACACTCCACTCCACTACAACTACACAACTACACTCCACCACACTCCACTGCACTAAATTACACTACACTACATTACACTACACTACACTACATTACACTACACTACCTTCCACTACACTTCACTACATTACACTACACTACACTCCACCACACTACAACTACAACTACAACTAGAACTACACTACTACACTCCACTAGACTCCACTACACTAAATTACACTACACTACACTACATTACACTACACTACACGCCACTACACTACACTCCACCACACTAAATTACACTACAGTTCACTACATTACACTACACCCCACTACACTACACTGCATTACACTGCATTACACTACACTACACTACCTTCCACTGCACTTCACTACATTACACTCCACTACACTACAACTACAACTACAACTACAACTACACAACTACACTCCACTACACTCCACTACACTAAATTACACTACACCTAAATTACGCTACACTACACTAAATTACACTACACTACACTAAATTACACTACACTACA